GAGTCGACGGTTGTGCCAATTGAGGCTGCGGTTGCACCAACTGAGCTTGAGGTTGTCCTAATTGAGGTTGCGGAATTTGCTGCGACTGTACCGGCTGTGTTTGATTCAGCACGGCCTGTTGAGGTTGAGGAATTTGCGGCTGCTGAATCGGTGCTATCTGTTGCAGCTGTTGTTGTTGTTGAGCTTGCGGCATTTGCTGCTGCTGCTGCTGCGGCTGTGGCAATTGTTGATTCATCTGAGTCGGTTGCGTCTGACCTATTTGCGACTGTTGCGACTGAGTAGGCGATATCGTTGTCTGAGGTTGGACTATTTGTGGCTGAACCATATGAAGTTGCTGCACTGGCTGCTGCATTGATTGTTGCACCGGCTGTTGCACCGGTTGTTGCATCGGCTGCTGCATCGATTGCTGCGGCGAGCAAGTGATAGATTGTTGTTGAATGTGTGATTGCTGCGGCTGCTGCTGCGGCTGTGTCATGGGTTGTTGCGTTGTACTACTCAGCGAGGGCTGATGTACCTCTATATTTTGTTCTTGCGACTTTGTTTCACACACACCTTGACTTTCAATATTGGAAACGGGATTCTGAACAGGCGCAACGACCGTTTGTTGCTGCTGCTGTTGCAACGTCGCAGTTGCGCATTCCATATTTCCGCTCGTACTGGACGCTGGAAGAGACTGCACCGTCTCGATCGGAGACATAGTTGCCGATGTAGGAATATTACCCGTCGTCGATGCGTGATCCAAGGACAGATTGTTCTGCGAGTTATTTTGCGCCAAGGTATCAACTTGCGGTGGGCCAAGTTGCGCAGTCGCGTCCGGCTGCTGACTCTGCTGAGCGCTTTGATGCAAAGAAGACTCAGGCTCTGGTTGTTTCGGGATTTCGACAGGATTCTGCACGACGTTCTCCGTCGTCGTTGTCGGTTCTCTCGTTGTCGTTGTGCTCGTTGTTGTCGTTTCTGCAACGTTGTGCACGGTAGACTCTGGTGGTCCGGTGACTGAAAATATCGGAGCGCTCTGCTCGGATACTATCGGCGCCTGCTGCTGAGGGTCCATTACACTTCTATCTTCGTTAACGCCAATACCGGGCCTGATTTGCGATTGCTGCTGCTGTTGCTGCTGCTGTTGCTGCTGCTGTTGCTGCTGCTGTTGCTGCTGCTGCTGCTGCTGCTGCTGCTGCGAATGCGGTTGCCATTGAGTGGGCATCGGCATCCTTGGTCCTGTAACTTGAGCCGGCATGGGACTCTGCGTCGGTTGTGGCGGCATAACACTCGGAGTCTGCGACATTGGCGGACGCGTTTGGAATTGATTGTATTGATCTGGAGCGGAAACATTAGAGTTCGACACGGCAACTCCCGGCATCACCATCTGCTCCAATGCCTGCAGTGTGGTTTGCTGTTGCTGCGTCGATGGATTCATCTGCATGGGTGTAGGCGGACACGGTGACACCGACATCGCATTAGGTTGACCACCCTGCTGCTGATGAGGAAGCTGCACGTGGGGATGTGGCGATAAAGTCGTGGGTTTGGCGGGCGACATGATGGGTCGAGGTGACATTTGTTGCTGCACTGCCGGCGGACGCGGAGACATTTGCGGCCGCGGCGACATCTGCGGCGACAGTTGCGGAAATGCAGCGCGATACTGAGGACTCGTCGAGTGCTTAGCTGCCGCCGCCGCCGCCGCCGTGCCAAACTGTTGCGGCGGTGGCGCCGAATGCTGCGGTTGGTTGAACATTGACGGTGCGTGATGAGGATACTGAGGATCCATCGTCGGTTGTTGTTGCGCATTCGGATGCTGAGGAGCGTGCTGAGGATACTGCTGAGGATGAGACGGATGCGGCTGGTGAGTTGGATGCGTCGGATGATGATGCGGCATTCTCGCCTGAGGCGGTTGCTGAGCCTGCTGCTGTTGATGAATGGCGGAGGCGAAGCCGGGATAGCCGGGCGACGTTTGATACATCGCCGCCACCGAATTACCTTGCTGATAATGTTGCTGCTGTCCGACCATGTGTTGATAAACTCCGCCGGTCGCGCCGGCCTGCATGGATTGATGCAAAACCCCCATGTTGCCTATCATTCCTTGCTGACTACCGAAATGTTGTTGTTGTTGTTGCTGCTGCTGCTGCTGCTGCTGCTGCTGCTGTTGCTGCATCTTTTGATTGATAACGCCGGCTTGTTCTTGCTGATGTGAATACTGTGGCGGCATGTGTTGCCTATACGCGGTAGGCTGTGGAGCCATCTGATTGTAATGCCTCTGCATTTGTGGGTAACCACTGCCGTTACCCGGCCAGCCTTGCTGGCTGGGATCCATACTCATGTTGGCTCTAGCCATTGAGTGTTGCTGAGTTTCCATAGAATACATATTGTCATTGTAGCTAGGATACTGACCACCGCTGCCCGGATGAGGTCCCCTGTGCTGCTGCGGTGCAATATTGCGTGTCTGATTTTGAAAGGCGCCTGGCACCATGGCACGCTGAGGTGAGGCGCTATCGAACGTACCGAGATTTTGGTTAAACATACTGCGTTGCGACGGATTTTGCAATTGATTCGAGCCACCAAATTCAGATCCGCCGAATGAAGTCAATTTTTGTATTGGAGATTCTTGGGAAATGTTATAGGATTGACTAATGTAACTCCCTCCTCCATTAGGACCAGAATTCAGACCGTCCCTGGACACCGCTACGGAATTATTCGCAGACGCAGGATCGAAATGATCATTCCCTCCGAGATCAGGAAGAGCCTCGAGCATCGAGCCACTGACATCTTCACCAAACAGATCGTAGTCCATGTCTACGCTGAAGGACTCTTCACCCCCATTTCAGGCTTACGAGAATATTGTACGATCTCTTCTATAGCCAGTAACGTGCCCATGGTAAATTCACGCTCTCGCCCTCTGAAACAATCAAAATTTCATGTTCCAAATACTTTCTCCGACAATACACACTACGTTACAATGTAAAAGAATAACTAATCCTATTCTCGTCGAGGTTGATATACGCCAAAGGGGAAAAGCTATACGCTTATGGTTCAATTTCTCATAATCGCCATAACTTTTCCCCCTCGAAATATATCTCAATTTGCAATATCCGGCTATATTCTTTTATCAAGACCTTGAAATAGCATAAAATCTTATTAGTCATATTAAAGTAGACTGATAAGAGACTAGTGCGATTATATCGTGCAAAATTTTATATATATATGTTCGTAATTATTTCAATTTTATAAAAATAGCTTTAGCCCATTTTATAGATTCATATAAAAAATACGAAGAAAAATGTTCGTTTGAAGTATCCTGATTTTTTTAATTGTACGCAAGCTATTAGAAAAAAAAGTATAGAAAGATAAGTGAGAAAAACATCGAGGCGCGATTACACTGAACAACTCGAATCAAAGCGGGCAATTAAACTATTAGCGCGACCCTATACATCGACACATTACTATCAGACTACTTGTTATATTCGTGTGTATAAAATTTAATGCATCGCACAATTAGTATCTATATAAATTATCGTAAATAACAACTACTAAACGCTATTTAATGATTTAACAATAAATAACTACGTGCGCATAGTGAAACTTTTAATGAGTCACTGTGGTGGCTTTTTACGCATAGTAAATGTTTCCGGAAAATTATTGTGGTGATTCTTCATAACGAAAGGGTTAAGACGCAACAAGAGAAATATTATCAATTGGCAATACTTGACTTTTGTCAAAACTGTGCAAAGACTGTGCACAACTACCGGCGTAAGTAATAGCGTGAAATCCTTACGTGCAACAATATGGCATTGCCGCTTCATAAATAAACATTCTGTCCGAATATATTGACGGTGGAAACTGATGAAAATCGACGCGATCGATATACAACGTCGAATAAAACGAAGAAGCGAACGCTGGGAAAGAGAAAAAGAGAGAGGAATAGCAAGCGGACAAAACAAAAAATTGGGGCAACAAACCTGATACATACTGACAAATGCAACGCGGCGCATGACAGAAGAGGAGAAGAGAAAGGAAAAAGAGAGGAAGAGGAGAGAATTCTCATGTCTCGGAGGAAAAGGAACAAACATACATTCACTCGACGAGTGCGTGAAAGAGCGAGATAGTGAGAGCGAGCAAGCAAGCGAGTGAACGAACGAACGGTCGAAACTGCACCGAACGAACAACGATGAGAAAAAGGGAAAAAGGAGGCTCTGTTCTCTCTCTTTCTCTTTTCCCCCTGTCTCTCTTTCTCCTTTTCTCCCTTTCACCCCCCCTCTCTCTCTCTTTTTCATCACAGCTTACGCTTGGCCGTATTTCATCGTCGCGTCTTTACAACCGTAAAGTGGAAAGCCGCTGTGTGGCTCGCTGTAGGGTTATGGCATACGTTGAAATCGGCAACGAGTCTTTTCACGAGCGCCTGATCACTCATACCGACGACGCAATGGCTCGATGACGACGAGCGAGAAAACAGGGTAGGAGAGAGAGAGAGAGGAGAAGAAGAGAAAGGAGGAAAAGAGAGAAAGAGAACGAGCGAGTGAGAAAAAACGTCGGGCCCGACGACCACGGAAAGTACGCCATTATCGCGGGCAAGAGAGCGCGATGCGGGAGAGAGAGAGAGAGAGAGAGAGAAAGAGAGAGAAAGAGAGAGAAAGAGAGATTTCCGTTCGGAGCCACCGCGAAAGAGAATTCATCGTTGTCGCGCGGCCACCGCGACGCTCGATATTCCGACATCGGGCGGCAGCGCGTCACTCCGCGTCACACCGTCTTTTGCCCATACCCAGCACTCTTTCCAGCGGCTGCACTTTCCTGGCGGCGACCAACCAATCAAGCAGATGAGACAAGTACACTGCCGCTTTGCTCTCCCGTCCCGCGAAGTATCTCACAGTCTAAGGACGACGCGCTGCTGCACGCCACCAGCGTTTCATCTATCTCAAAACCACCCTCACGCGCGCGTTCACACGATTTTCACTGGAAGTAGTAGCCTGCCGCGGCAACGGTGGCGGTACGGGGATCATCGGACGTGCAAGCGTGTCCGTAGGCTCGAATTATTTCACACATCTATATAATACACGTATATATCTCTCTCGCTCACTCATTCCCTCTCATACAAATGGTTCACTCACTTGCTCACTAGTCGCTCTTCGTCTCCTTCCCCACCGCGTGCGCAGGACTATTCTTCTCTTCGTCTTCGCTTACCCTGTCCTGTACCGTTCTACGGGAGGAGGT